TCAAATATTATGAGTTTATATTAAAGATACTTCGTTATGTATACTGTAAAATATAAACCTGATAGCAAATTTTCACAACTTAAATGAACAACACAATTATTTTTCAGATGTTTCTAGTTTAGTTAGTTCAAACTTCTGTTCGCATGAAGTTTCACTCGGATGGCGCCAATAGTGGACATCACTAGTAGACGACTAGAAATCATCATATCAAGTGTTTGTCTTTTCTACTTTCACAAATATTTCTACAATATTATGTTTGAACTGCTTAGTTAAACGTGAACGATTTTCTAGGTTACTTTAAATACTCTAGATATTAAATGAGGTTTTCTCTTTTTTTAAACAATTTTGGATTAATAACAGTCAGAAGTTTATACTAAATTATTTTATTTTATTCTTCACACACATGTATTATCATAACTTATTTAGGAATCTATTCAGCTAAACTATACTAGAAGTAGAAACATGGCACGAAATTTTATTAATACGTTGCAAACTAATTTTAACCAGTAATAAAAAGCAAATAAATGAAGGAAAATCAAATGAAGTTAACAAATATACATGATCCCATTAATGTTATCCCATTAAAATTTTCAAAATCAGTGCTAATATTGACATTAAATGTTGAACAAACACTTACTATCTCAGAAAGTGTAGCAAGATTTAGATCAGTCGAGTAAATCACGAACAACATATCGACAAACCCAGATAGAATCTAATACGGTCATCGTGTAGAACTGCCAAATAGGGACGCACCGACCCACTCCGCTGACGGACGTCGCAGTTCCGTCTCTGTTGGCTATTTACCTGTTTACCCTACTGTGGAAAGTAAGAAGGCTACTGAACCCGTTCACAAAACAAACATTGTAAGTGTTAAGGCTGGGTTGGTTTATGAATGTGTGAAGTACGGCTTTGAAGGAAACCTACACATTGTACTCATAATAAGCTCATTAAATATGAAGGCGCTAAAATTGTAAGCATTTTCAAGTAATATGTAACAAACTGAAAATAATCTAAGTATGGAACAGTATGATTTTCAAATTTATTTTTGTTGTATAATAGCTGCTAAGAGCACTGAAAATTGCTTTTGAAAATAGTAACCCCCTAATAAGAGGAGGCATCTGAACGTCTAGTTAAGCAACTAAGTATGGTGAAAGCGTAATATAATTAGGCCAATACTTAAAAGAGGTAAGTTATTATATGAGTGCGTGCGTTATGTCTGTCTGTAGCATTGTAGTTCCTCAAAGGATGTATTGATTTTGGTTCATGTTTTTTTTTCTGTAAAAGGTGATTTCATCAAAAATGATCTTAGTGATTGTTTAGAAAATCTATTAATCGGTTTAAATATCCTCTGCTCTTTTATAGTTTTAAAGGGATTTTTTAAACTGGGGTATGCCTTCGAAGATCCTATTCGATAAATTGTATACTCACGCCTATTACACATTGGATTAATATACATTTGTTTACATACTTGTATTACATTAACACATTTAAATTTTCAAAGTCCTAACGTATTCATAAAATTGATAAGGTAGACATTGTAATGAAAAATACAGTGGTCATGATGCTTTACGACGATAGGCAGGTGTTGTGGAAAGAGTAAAAGCTGCTTTCCCGGCACGTGCGCGCACGCCGGTCACATTGCGACCTACAGCGACGACACACATCGAAACTTGGAATCCTCCTCAATGGGCGCACCCAGGGTAGGGCAGGGGAGTGCAGCCGAACTTTTGGGTTTTTTTATGCTTAACTAGTACTCGTATTTACTATGTACTCGACGACCGGATGGCGAAGTGGTTTCTGTAACGGACTGCTATTCTAAGGGTCGCGGGTTCGATTCCTGCTCAAGTCAAACATTTGTCTGCATGAACTTTTATTTTTTGATTTGGTCTGGGTGTTTCTATGCATAATATGTATGTATTTACAAAAATATATGTATAGTATATATGTTTTATATCAGTTGTCTAGTACCCATAGTATAAGCTCTGCTAAGTTTGGGACTAGATGGCGTTGTGAGTGTAGTACAATATTGATATTGATATTGATTTAGTTAATATCGTTAAATCAAAGTATTGATTTGTACCCGCCCCTGGACCGATAGTGAAATGTAAAATAAACATTACAGTCATCTATATCAAATAATTAGATCCTCTCAAAAAAGTATTTAAGTTAGGTAATAAAACGCCCTTTTCTTCTTGCAGTTCGGTTAAATAACAGCTAATACAGCATGATAATATGATATGGTAAGCAACGTTGGTAAAACTAGTTAGATACAATAACCGCACTCGCCAGAGTAAAAGTCAGGACCTAACACCGTACCCCGTACCAGTATCGGTTAGAAACAGCCCTCCATGATAGAGATCCTTCCCCAAAATCAAGACTTCTATTTCAAGATTGTATCCCCATTATACTCATATACAAGACACCATTTGTATTTACATGTCTTTACGCAATCGTCTATACCTCTATAGACAATTCAAGAAATGTTTGTTTCAAAAGAATTCTCTTCACGTAACATTTAGATTAATGACTTGTAGATCGTTAATATTTATTTTATTTAATCCCTGAAGCCCTTTTTTATTAACTTCACTATATTATACTATATATATATAGTACTAAGGACAGGAATAAGGACGGCAAACTTGACACAAACCCTATACCAACCCGTCTGGCCAGCGTGGTATATTAGGCTAAAACCACCTTCATAACGAGAGGCTTATCTCCAGCAGTGGACTATTAAAGGCTGTTGATGATGATTATTAATGCTATTATCTACTTGATGAAGACTACATAAAAAAAATATCCTGACCGTCAGATTTTTCCTTTCGGAATTATTATTAGATGGAATTACACCCGAAAAGAGTCGTAATATGACTATAGATATCTTCAAAAGTGTATACTAACTTCCTTACAGTTATTTATTCTTACTATTAGTAAAAAAAGTAAAGTTTATCCGGGCTCTAAATTGAAATTTACTGATGTAGGATAGGGTACTATTTTTCTCATACGGCACTTTGGCCCAAGCAAATCCCGTATCGCGAACGAGATAAGCACTAAATTCCAAAACAACTAAAAGAATGGACCTCATAAATTTTAGTTCCATTCGAGGGTAGCTCTCGGTAACTCACGGTACGTAACACACATGGTCCGTGACGTAATGATTTTAAATCACTCTGTAAGGTTTTGGATAAGTTTCACAGCGTGTATCTACCACTAAATATATTACTATTTAACAATAATGCTACAATTTGGTTGTTTAAAAATATCCTTTAAAGAAGAGATAAGCTGAATATAACAACGCAGAATTAATAAATTTCGTACCCTTAGTCCGTCAATTGATCGCCCTATGTATCGCCCTCGAAGTGTGACTTATTTATTAAAAACTGTCTCATATTTAAATCGATTGGAAATAAGTACTGTTTAACGTACATAAAAGTATGAGATATTATTTTCCAAGTCTTTAATATTCTACTTTTTTATTCTATTTAGCAGATAGTACAAAATATTTAGGAATCAGCAGAAACCGGATGCTTACGACAGTCCAGTAATACAATACATTTATTAAATAAATCTCAATACCTGTTAAGACAGTATAACATATCCGACTGTCGGAGATTTTACTAGACAGACGGTCGGGTAATGAAAGTAAAATTAGTTTGGGAGCAACGCCCGCGCTGACATACTGCACTCGCCTCGCCTGCGCCCGCGCCATCGGCCTTCATTTGTGATGACTGCGGTCTTAGACTTTACACCGCTGCGTTGCCTAGATTTCTTTTCTAGGGATTTCTTTATAAAATGATCTTACTGATTCGCTTTACATTTTTATATTTAGGTTGACAATAAATTATTTTGAGAAAAAATACAACCCTTTACACAGAATAAATAATAGTAAAATATTGAAAATTAGGTAATGAAATCAAAGAGCGAGTCGAATTTTTCATTTCATTTCATTTCATTTCATGAGCGGCGGTAGTCACTTTCCATCAGGTGACCCGTCCGCCGGTCTTCTATAGAAAAGGAATTGTGTGTTAATTTTATTAAGCGCATTAAAACCAGTTTTTTGACCTCTTGTTATCCTGGAGAAAAACTAGTCAATTGCGAACACCAATCCTTACCATTAGCCCTGTTCATAGTCTGTCTCACATCTGAGAAGTCTGTCACCTTCTGTCAGTATAAGAGGGGTGTAGATCTAGTCCATAACATTGTGGTTTCAGAGCTCCCTCATCAATTCATCCCCCAGTTGATTCGACCTATGAGCAAATGATAACTTATTTCTTATACCTAAATTATGTTCTAAAAGTTAGAAATGCTCCACCAAGTATCTGGACTTGGCTGTTATAACTTCTTGGGACAGACTTTCGGGCACAATAGAGTTACTGTACCTACAGTTGGTATCTATTGCAGCAAGTAATACAATTTCAATTTTTACATATTCAATTTAATAGAAGACGTAGGGGGAAGTCCCCTAGTGACGGACACATAAGGTTTTCAGGAAATAAAATTAAAACTACATCGAGAAACATGTATTTATTTATGAATTACTTAAATTAACAAAACATTGAATCAAAATCAAATAACAAAAACACAACTTCAAAATAAATAGTTAAATAGGTTTTGGTAAAAAAATAAAGGACTTTGACCTAGTGGCCTAGTGCCAGACGGATTAATCTTCAAACCCCAAACGCCGGACATTCTAAAACATTGTGCACCTATCACATATGTAGGCATCTCCACATTCTGAACCGTCTGCACATGCTTCATGAGCCCATTCTTGGCAGCTGGAGCATTATATCCAGTCCTCGTCGTGGTCCTTTAAACACACTACACAAGTAGTTTTTTCTATATTTGATACTTCAGTTAGCGGCTCCTTTTTGTTGTCGTTATTGCCACGTCTTCCTTTAAACTTATTTCCCATTCTTTTCTTTTGTTCTTTCTGGCTCTTTTCATTTTCTTTTTCTTGAACAGCAATTTTGTAGAGTTATGACGTTAAAATTTCACTTCTTTCACTTCTTCTGTTCCGAGCCGCTGACCTTTTTTTTTGCGGCATCTGGCAATGGCGACAGTTTATGCACAGTCTGAAGAACATGAACATTAAGTCTCATTGATGGTTTGGGAATGGTAATTGTTGGTACATTGGTAGTTTCTTCAGGACGGTCAGTCGTTTCTTCTGAGGCTAAATTATCATAGAAAATCGATGAGCTAGCCAAGGTCAAATCAGTGGAAGTCACGGACACTTCCTTGCTGCAACTTGGTGCGTTTAAAGAGGTTACTGGCTCTCCTACTAGAATGTTAGTCATGTTTGAAGGCAAATAATCCAAGTCAGAAAATACTTGCTCATACTCGGGTGAGAAGGTTTTTGTGAACCAACTTTTGGTTGCAACGTGACTTCTTTTCCACTGCTCAATGTCGTTATTTTATCATGTAGAATACTTTTTAGAACATTGTAACGTGACGAAGCTTCCCTCAAACTCATTTTTTTGGACAAAATCTTGTCCATCGCAGTTTTTAAACTTTGCTGATCCCATTTTCCCTTTTTTTTCTCTCTTCCATTTTCAAATATCTGTCTCCTTCTATCCTCTAAAACAACAAACAATCATCATTACAATAAGTACAAATGCTTCATAAAAAAGCTAACCTATAAACTGTCCGGTGGTAAGGGACACCTTTGTGTCCGAAAGTAGGGGACAGGAAATGTCCAAAATTACGTATTTCATACTAAAACTGTTTAGGTATTTAATAAAAACTTTCACAATATAATAATTATAATGAAACACTGTCTTTATTAACAAATAACAAAAACAATTAAGGATAAAATCATAGCAGTAATACTTACTTGAAATTTACGTGACGCAACGCTTTCCCACCAAAAACAGCAATCCACGGCTTCCACCACGAATGTGCGCCTCACTGGCAAATCGCGTTGCGTGATCCTGTCTCGCTACGTTCCTCCGCACCCCTTTCATCGATTTATAAATAGATCGCGTTGACGTTTGTCGAAATAGTATGAGTGTCCGACGCTAGGTGCCGTCCGGCGCTACGGGACTTCCCCCTATAGCATATTGATTAAAAAAAAAACCTTTACTAAGTAAATCAATATGACGGTTACGTATGGTGTATGAATAGAAATATAAAGTATTTATACATATCACATACCCGTAACGATGTAAAAACAATAGAAAGCAGTGATATTATTGAACTCAGTGAGTGTACCCTCGTCTTTTTTAAAGTAAAATATAAGCAAAATAAACATAATTGGGGTACGACTAAAGGAAGTAGCTCACGGTGACTTTTGCACCGACGTAGTAGCGAAGTAATCGCTCAACATCCGCGTCTGTATTGCTGTATTGTAATAATAACGAAAGGGCTCTATATTAAATATAAAGGTTACGGTTGCAATTGGACCCCGATACAATATTAACAAAAAAGTCACAAGTTTATGTTCAACGCGTTGGTAACGATACTAAATTAATACAGCCGCAAGTTTATACCGATGGTATAACGCAAATGCGACGAACGAATAAAAGTAGTGATACAAACGCGCGTGAATAAAATGCACGTCTAAGTCGTGACCGTCACAGTGGACGACGGCCCTTAGAGCAGGAAACAGAACGGAAATAAACCTTGATAATGGTATGTTAAAGTTTCCGTTCTCATACCGCTACTATATAATTTTTTATCTTAATTGCTCTTTCATTGTAATATATACCACAACTTAATAGTAATTGGTAACCCAAATGTATTATAATTTATATACGAACTGCGTCACATGGTCGCATCCCAAACATCATCACTTAATGCATAAAAATATTTATATTTTCATCAAATTTGGTGAGAATGATGCATATTTTTATATCTAAAATGTTCTCAAATATCGTTATATTATTTTCTGGTAAGGTGCACAATTATATTAATTGACTTTCATAATTATGTTTGACCTTGGTTTCTAACTAGATTTCTAATGGTTACTTATAGACATCCCTGTTGGTTTTTATTGATAAAATGACGTTTTATTTTGACATTAATACTGAAGTAGATGTCGGATTAATATAAAATACACTTTATTAATTTAATAACTTTACATTACTCTTCTACGTACATGTACATTGGACATAGATTATATCTTAAACGCCCAATATTTCCAACCCGATAAAAATCTTCAAACAACTTTCTCTCGAATTATGTAATGTAATTCAATTTTTTACCCGTGTTATCCCATTCAAACGTAATTGCTGGATTCACTTGCCATAAGCCCTCATATAAATCTCAATCGAAAATATATATCTAACCGGCGAGACCGATACTTTCTAATTTCATAGCCAGAGGCCTAAACAAATGAGAGTTATAAAACTATTGATGACTGACCAATAAAATGCTGTATAGGCAGACATATTATAGTCAATGATAGAAGTACATAAGTGGCAAAATCGCTGCTTAGTTATCAATATTGAGGACATTGCTTTTATCATTATATTGGTTGCAGAATTATCTTTCGACAATGGAACATAAAACGTGAAACTCAGCTTGTATCTTGACGAAATACTTTCTATTGTGACATGAGACAATCAACTAAGTCTAAATCTAACTACAGTCATATTGAGAACAAATTTTGGACAGAGATACGTGGTATATATATGGATAAAAACATTCATTACAGTCTCCGTTACTCTGGAAGCTATAGGAAACTATGAATGGACGCAAAGGAACACTGGTACGAAGTAGCTCTTAGCAGGTGTAAAAGCATGAACATAGTTGTTCATGCTTTTACACCTATATAGTTATACCACCTTATATAGTTATAACGAGACATAATTGCCTAGAGATCACCTGGTGATCAAATTTTGACCATTCGACCAATTTATTTACTTTAAATGTCCCTGATCAGTATAACTAGTAATGTGTAGCAATATCTGCATAACGACTAAGTATACGTTCTTGTTTATTAATTGTTAAATTTATAATACTTTAATTAACACAGCTTTCTTGACTAATACTGTTACGTATTAAACAATTCAAATTTCACGCTTTTCCGTATCCAAAAGTTCGTAGAAAAAATTATCTTTCCATAGAAAAAAAAAGTAATAATACAAATGAATATATTTTATTTTTGGTTTATCAAAATCCCATACATTCCTAAAGAATTTTGCATTATATGCGCTGAGTACTTAGTACTTAGAGTACTAGTTTTACAGAGAATACCGATATTTCGATGGTCATTTTATAAAAAAAAATTACTTCTGCATTTAAATAAACATGAATATATTTTTTACTTTAACCATACAAAACAGCGAGAGATCTTGACTAGGGCGTCATTGACCTTGACTTTATCAAAATACAAACCATCTTGCCTCTCGTCGAAACTGTATAAAATATACAACCTACAGACCTAATGATCTAGAAGCCGCACCTTCAACAAAACAGCAATCAATAAAGCCACTAATAACATAAGAAATACAGAATAGCCGGTTCATCTAATTTCCGAAACCTGTTACTATGGAAAATATTTAAAAACCGGAGCGACTTGTTGATTGAAAACAAACGGGAATCGAATTATGGGACAACTTTCACATGTAACTGATAGAGAACCCCGGAAAGAGTAAAAGTTTAATTTAATTGGTAATATGGTACAAGTTGATATAGACGCCCCAAATAAGTTATTACATAGTAAGATAAGTAATTCATCAAATAAGCCGTTGTTGTCGTATAATTAATGAACACTTACATCTTCATTCTCATCGAAGTTCTTAAAGAGTTCCTCAGTTATGTCGCAACTATATATTACATCAAGAAATCGAAATCGATGACAGTGATAAGTACGTACAATTATTTACAAAAAATATATATGTTTTTCTTGATTAATGACGTAGAACCTAGGTCTAGATAACGCTTCTCGAATGTCTCTTGGTTTATGTTATTCCAAACTTTTAGGAAGAACCAAATTATAAGCATTTCACTTAAACCATGTCGAATGAAAGCAAAAAAGTTTAGTATTTTTGCGGTAAAAAGTAATTTTTAAATGGCCTTTACGAGACAAAAAAATTAGTGTGTTATATAAAATAACACTAAAAAATGCCTACGCTATAGTGAAAGCTGAGCAGACGAAAACGAGAAATTTTCCGTGTCGTTATAATTTATGAGATTTGACAAGTATAATATATATAGTTTTGGTCCACATGTTCACTGGTTTTACGTTACATTATTTTATGACAAATTGTCATGTATATTTTAGTTCTCTCTTTGTATAGTTAAATAACAAAATAACATCTACAATCTAAACGATATGTGGAACAAGACCTCCAAAATATAGATGTAAATTATGAAATTTACAAAAACATAGTGGTTATTACTATTGTAATTTTTAGATTTCACAAAAATTCTTATACAGACTTCTTGTTATTTTTCAGAGTGGTACACTTAGTGACCAGGCGTCGAACGAAAGCGGTGGTGGTGGCGGTGCCGCAGGCTCTGATGCCAGTAACGCTGCAGAGCCGTCAGGTGATCAGCTTGCCATGGAATCCTCAGAAAGAGACACTCCGAGCCACGCATACAACGGCCCACCTCCCCCAGCACCACCACCACACAACAGAAGGCAAACCCCACCGCATCATCAGGCACATCATCCTTTAAGTAAGATTTTTTTTTTATTTCGCACAAATATTCGAATTGATTTTGTTAAGTTGAATAACTGTTAACTTTTTTGATTTTTAGGTATGCCGAGAATTACCAATCACCACCAGATACACTCAAAACCATTCGCCATAGGATCATCAGTGAACCATCACAAGAACGAGGTTGGACCTGGTTTCCGAGGTCCCCCACCACCACCTGCACCTCCTGCCGACTCACAGACAGCCGCAAGTGATAAAGTTTTTAGCGGAGCAGGAGATGTCTGGCCTGCACCAGCTCCAGACATGCCGAAAATTGTGTCTTTAGACGTAAAATGTGAAAAGAATGCCATGAGAGTTTTTCTCAGTTTCGATAAGCCATTCTTTGGTATTGTATTCTCTAAAGGCCATTACTCTAATCACCAATGTGTTCATCTTCCACCTAATCTCGGCAGATCATCTGCGTCTTTTGAAATTGGCGCTCATGCATGTGGCACCGCTGGTAGTGGGGACCCTAGATACAGAGGAGACGTTGCAGCCGCAGGGACTTACTTCGAAAACGTTATTGTCATTCAATATGATCCACAAGTGCAAGAGGTATGGGATCAAGCTCGTAAACTACGGTGCACATGGCATGACCAGTACGAAAAGGCAGTTACGTTCCGACCATTCCCAGTAGATATGTTAGATGTTGTACGAGCTGACTTTGCTGGAGACAACGTTGGCTGCTGGATGCAAATTCAAGTCGGTAAAGGACCTTGGGCTTCGGAAGTATCAGGTTTAGTGAAGATTGGACAAACCATGACTATGGTTCTTGCAATTAAGGACGATGATGCGAAATTCGATATGTTAGTCCGAGATTGTGTGGCTCATGACGGTCAACGCGCTCCTATACAATTAGTCGATAGGCGAGGCTGTGTAACAAGACCGAAATTGATGTCTCGATTCACAAAGATCAAGAACTTTGGAGCTAGTGCCAGTGTTCTTTCTTACGCACACTTCCAAGCCTTCAAATTCCCTGATTCAATGGAAGTTCATTTCCAATGTACCATTCAGATTTGTAGATATAGGTGCCCTGAACAATGTTCGGATGGAACTCCTGCGATTGCACCACATGCTGAATATGGACCACCTCAAATAGATTCGTACCCTGTCGGGATTGAAGCTAGGCGTGATGAAAGGAGAGTGAGGAGACAAAGGAGAGCTACTTCTCCCGAAAAAGAGGTTGGTGTTAACAGGGTCATTCGGGTTGTGTCTGCTGGAGACTTAAATTTAGATACCTCACAAGAAACTGCGGCACCTAAAGTGACACCTACTCCGGGCCTTGTTTGTATGACTACACCCGGGTTTGCCGCTACTCTGGGTGCTCTTCTTGCCACTTTGTTATGTTCTTGTGCCGTATCAGCAGTTTTGTTCTTAAAGTTAAGACCGATAGCTACCCTTAAAAAGAAGACTGCCGCTGTGACGACGATAGCTCGACCGCACCCACCGACCGCACATGTAATTTCAAAGAGCCGCTTCTACTCGTAACAAAGCGTACATGTAATATAATTTGTAAATAGTAGTGTGATGAGACTGAAGTATATAGACCATGCCAATTATTTATATGCGTGTTATATGAGTGCTCAAATGAACATAGTTAATCTGGAAACCCTTACTTAGTATTAATTGAATTATTTTTAGACTAACCACAAACGTCTTTTAAATTCGGTTGTTTCTTATTGATACAGTACTTTGTCAAACTTATCACGTTTAATTGTACTAAATTTATAGCTATTATGGTTATGTAAAGTAATAGGTTTCCTTTTTGGTAACACTTACCGATAAAAAATACGTAATAACTGTAGTCCTTTAGGCATTAAAAGAATTCCAATGTATTGGTAACTCTTGTTTCAAGGAGGCAGTAGCAGTATTACCAAATTCGATGGTATGCATATAATAATATTTCTTTACACGTTTACACAAAGATATGACAAATTATAAACACAAATTGTAGTATTAAAATATTATAAGTACAATCTTCTGTTACCTCTTTTTGAATACTTGTTTGAAGTAGGGGCAACGGAAAAAATATATACATACGGTATAACAAATTAGGTGAACCGCTAGATTATAATTTAAAATAACTTGTCATTAGTATTAATATTATTTATTTAGTTAAGTGTTAGTCATTATTACGAGTACGAATAGCGATTTATTTATTTTAATACCACCTGAGTACCTCTTCCTCTTATTTAATTGTTTTCTTTTCTTTATATTAGAGTTTATTATTTGTTGAACTGGCAATGAAATAATTAATATATCTTATAGTGACATCAATAAGTTAAAACAGTTTGAACCATATCACATTTTTGATGATTGTAAATTATTGTAACAACAGACTTTTGAAAAATTAAACTTTTATCACAAAGGTTTGGTTTATTTTATTTTAACCAACTTCTACCCACTACTACTACATAAGTCGATAAATAGCAGTACGAACCAGTGGAAGAAAAAATGAACAGTCTTTTGTGTTGTGACGACTCGGTGCAGTGGTAGCGTATGCGACTGCTGTCCTGAGGTCTCGGAATTGATCGATAATCTGCTAATATTTGTTTCGGAGTTTGGGTGTTTTCTATTTACAATATGTATGTATTTACAAAGTATATAAGTATTCCATCAGTCAATATAGTTTTCATAGTACAAGCGACTACCGCCAGCCATGTATACCTGCAACTCTTGAGTCACATTATCAGGGGAAGGGAGATGATTTGGCAGTCGGAAACCTAACTCACTTGGTGAAAAGGAGAAAAAAATCTTAACATCGGTTTTCTATGAGGCTGTAGTATTACCCATTCGTGCCGAAGCACCACCAACGGCCTTCGTCCCTGACATCAGTAGCGAAGGGTAAATTAACTTACTTGCCTGCTTTATAAACAGACAACTCCCGCACTAGGCATATATCCGGTGTCGAGGGGGACTTTACAAACATACATGAAACGGACACAAAGAACAGCCAGACGCAGAACAACAATTTGTGGATCACACAAAGTGTTGTTCCATGTGGGGATCTAACCCACACCACTCAGCGGCAGGAAGCTGCGATGTAACCGCTTAAACCACTAAACCACACTATAACCTGCAACATATTATTTAAAAATTGGTACATTATGAAATACTTGCATGCGTTACTGTCAAGGTTTGTACAAGGTAGGGTACAAGGTAGGGTCTAACTCTCTAGGCATCAAATAGATTAAAAAACGTCTGCTATCTAAATATTTAAATGAAGGAGCTGTAGATGACCAGAGTAGATGGAAATATTGGTTTCACTTGGTTATAATTTTGAGGGACATAGTTTTTATTTACAGTATACAGTACTGAATAAATTGCAAAAAGCCCAAGCCACTTATTTTAACTAAGATGTAGAGATTGTAAATTTAGGACTTGTAGAGTTAGGGCGTGTATAGAGTAGTAGTCTGGCTCTACACGAGATTGGATAACTTTTTGACAGTGCGAGCCATGTAGTCTCGTTTTGGCAATATTTTACATGAAAATGTTTTTGGTGGGATACCGTGTTTAGATTTTATTTATCTACTAATATTAGTGCACACCTATGTTTCCCTAAGGAACTTCTGAGCAAAATTTCATGCTTCTAAAGCCAGCAATTTCAACTGTTCGTTGTTCGATCAGTGAATATAATTATACTGGATACCTGTGGGTTTTAGTAACTGTTTAAACAATAAAATATCAAATTCTAACCTATAAAATATTTAAAGAAGTTTTTTTTATAAATTTCAGCTTTCCTATCTTCTTCTATGGGTTTCTTAAACCCTTTTGCGCTAAATTGACTTAGGTGAAACCGAGTACAAAAAAAATTATTTAACTAAACCGATTGCCAATCCCATACGCTATTTTTTTAGCTCTGTTGATAGTGTAGAGGAACGGATATCGTGTCCCTCCAACACAAATGGAGGATCCTCCGACCAAGCGAGGTGATCACGCCTGGCGGCCGCGGCCCAGCGTTTGAGGTTAGGAAGTTGTATATATGATCGGCGAAAGAATTATTCATATCGGGTTATAGGATTTGTAGTTACTTCGTATTCGGTGTGTCTTAGTTAGATGGCGATGTAGTATGTTTCATTGTTTTCATTGTAGCAAACAATCATCCATTGATAGTTTATGTGCTTGTATAATTCTTTATCCCAATACCATAAAAAGAACAATTAAGTGGTTAAGTGAATTCTCAAAATGGGTCTTGAAACTGTGACAATCTATAAATCTAAAGGTACTTGCTTCTAAATTTCTTAGTAAATGTAAAGTTACAGGAAAAGTGTTCGTGTGGTGATTGGATTAAGAATACATAGTGTCACCACTTCTATTCATCCCGTATGTGTCGTAAAAGTCGAAATAACTACGCAGCACAACAGCACTACAAACAGAAGGAAAACTTGAAACAAATCCTTTTTTTTTTTTTTTTTTAACGTGTGGAAATCCCCTCGGACCGTCACCCCTCCGGGGTTTGCGGCGGGGTGGTGTGTCGGACTCGGACCGACTAAAACCACACGGTGTGCCACTCTGCGCCTGTAACAGGAGGGATCCGGGAACAGCTGTTGTTAAGACATCCGGACCCCTCCTAGCGCCAGCCCGCTCCTGGTGCGGGCTCCGTCTCAATGTTGATGTTCCTCTCTTTAGGCGACGTCCGGCACACGCGGACGCCACCCCCTCGCGGCTGGCCAAACTAATGCGGGTGGAGGGGAAACCCACCCCGTCCACCCGCGGCCACACTCAGGGCGGCATGAGGCTGTGGTAGGCGGGCCTCCCACCCCTAGCCTAGCACCCCAAATCCTATACCAACCCGTCTGGCCAGCGTGGTATAGTAGGCCAAAATGTACTTTCTAAGGAAAGGCCTTTATCCAGCAGTAGTTTAGTTTTTCTTACCCTGCCCTGATCCTCAAGATCACATTCGTGGAAAACAATTAATATAATCATACTTGTAGTATCCTAAATGTATCCTAAATGATAACTTAAAGGATTGAAAATATGTGTGTATAAACATCATTGACACGTTTTAGATTCAAAGACGCCCTGAGCTGTGGTGATATTCTTTTTTTACATTTTTTTTCTCAAAATGATTAAAATATATCTACACTTTTACATGACAACACGAATCGCCAGCGTCTCTGTCATGTCTTCAGACTTAAGCAGAAATATTGTAAAAACTGCGAGGATAACACTTAAAACTCGTACTATCTATATATTTAGTTCGTTAAATATAGCTTGATACCGCTGACAGCTAATTGCAAGCAAGCAACAACAACGGCAATCTCGATTTTTCGCAAGTATTGATGATTCTACGATGGCTGTATGAAATTACATGTGCGCGAACTATGCTCAAAAACAGTTTCCAACTTTAAATTAGTTAGTGTTGTCCCTCAAAGATGCAAATATATTAACGGGCAATATAAACTCGTAGTAGTCCAAAGCAGTAGACTATACTCGTAAGAGGCGGTTGATGAAAGCGTCATTAGTAAATCTTAAAAAAAAAGGCGGCTTTTCTTTTTAAAGACTAACAAAAGAAAAATTAAAATGGTACGAACTGATATAATAAAGCTTCGGTTCAAAATGAGTTTTTCATGTGTGTAAAAAAAACTCCAATAAGGAAAACGTTGTTTTTTTTTAACATTAACATTCACTATAAAAAGATAAAGGTCCAACAACTAAAAACAAAATGTTAGAAATTATAAAATGGTTGTAAAGTATTTAACATACAACCTTGAATGTAGTGGGATTATATCGTATTGTGACCGAAAGAATTGGCAATCAACTAGCCCTAGTCAAACTTTAAGACATTTGTGAGATCGAGAGTAGATCTGAACTGGATTTTGAAAGAATTTTAATTACGAGAATTAACCCTCAGCAAGACTGGGAATGACAAGTACAGATCGATTTGGTTTGTGATCAAGAACTTAATTAATCTGCATAATTGTTCCCACAACGGCGACTAAAGACGATGACTTGGTTGTACGACTTAAGAAAAATGATCTTAAAACACCTATTATTTTATGTGTCGGGACTTTTGTTAGTTTTATAAATACCCCGTCCCGTAACCCAAGGCAAAAAGGATACCCATAAAATTAGATAAAAATGGTGTGTATGAATAAATATATTGTAAATTATTTTTTAATATGTCGTTTCATTGTATGAGAGGAACCTAACTAGTGCATGTATGTCGTGTGGTGCGCGTTATTTGCGGGGCCCTTCTCCTTCCTCTTATCCGTCGTATTGTTAGTGTCTATTGTGTGTCCAGTGTGTGTGTTATGTTGAGTGGGTCTGGTGTGTCTGGTGATTGCGTTATGTTTGGCGATTGTTGCGAGCCCTGTGGCTGTGGGTCCTGTGACTGATGAATGTTTATTATTTTATTGTAAAAAACTTGTTATTTTATTATAATATAATAACTATAAATTTAACAAAATATCATTAAATAGAGTACAGATAGACATTGATAGATTAAGCCAGTTATGTCATATCACTAGTGATTGTTTTGTGACACCTGTCAGCCGTATCAAGCTAAATTTTACGAAGTATATAGTCGCACTCCTACAGGCGAATGTTGGTTTTGAATGGAAGTAGTTCAACATATCTCCGCTAGATGGTGTTAACCATATTCATAGTCTATGATGGCACTTCGTACTCACGCAAACTTCCCTAAAAGCAAATCCGGCAGCCAAACAGACATTATTGTCATATCAATAGTGATGAAATTCGTAACCACCTCAAACATAACGTTTATATTAAAGTAATTTGTCTGGCATATTGGTCCAGTGGTTAGTGACCCTGACTGCTACGCCAGAGGCCGTTTGTTCGATTCCCACCCATTACAAATAATTGTGTTATGAGCACGGTCATTTGTTCTGTGTGTGTGGATGTATTTTATGGATAATAATATATGTATGTATTTAGAAATATATAAGTATGTTTATCAGCAGTCTGGTTACCATGATACAGGCTCTGCCTATTTTAGGATCGGCCGTGTGTGAAAAGTATAAAAAAAAAGGTTTAAATATTAAAGTTCGTAAGGTCATTTAGTTAGTAAACATCATAGTCCATATTTTACTTTGTACGATTGTATGTATTAATACAAGAAGATAATATTTTAACGAATACAGGAAAATGCATTGGGAGATTTAAAGTTTACAAATAGCAGAAGTATGGAAAGCTACATTTTTAACAACACATTGTGTTACTTGAAAACACTTAATGTAGAATGACTTTCAAGACGAAAATTAAATGCAAGTTTAAATGACAATTCAAAATATACTGGAAATGAATAGATAAAAAAATATGAAGTAGGTATAATCGAATTTCGACTGCAACTAAGTTGCATGGTGGTCGTTATATAATACGTAGTGAGCAACCGTCACCGGGATCATATTTGTAGGTATATTTTTTATTACCTCTCTTTTAAACAAAGAAACAAAATTAGTATGATTCAACATAATTTTAATCCATTAAACAAATTAACAGGTGCGTTAAACACATTTCGTCACCGCATCCATACAGACAAACTTAAAACATTTCGTTTACACGTACTTAGATACTGCCCAAAATAATATTTATAAAAGATATAGCGCCACAAAACTCAACACCAAAAGTACCACAACCTCAGAAAATAAATTATCTCGAATAAAGAGTACAATAGAATACATTTAAATAATTAATAAAAAATAAAATTGCACTTAGGGAGACAGTTTTCATACGAAAACTCTATTTAACTTATATAATAATAGTTTCTCTAAGATAAATGCAAGATTTTTGGGTGGCATGTCATATTTTAGAATGATTGAAAGTTCGACGTACGAGTTGTATTATAAGTACAATAACATTTTCAATGTACATTATGTTGTAGGACATAAGAACAATCCAAATTGCTAGTGGACATTGAATATTCAGGCTTGTCTTTTTAATTTCTCCATTGGTTAATCACATGTTATGAACATGTATTTATTGTATTGTTAAAAAATCTTCCAAAAGAATAAACCATGTTATTAATATGCTATGCCAATTAGTATTCCTATTCTATTGACCTCTCGAATCACAAGACTGACTGCATTGTGATTCCAAGTTCCCATTCGAGACTTCAGGTATTCCTTATTCGAAAGTAGCTCCTTCTTTTGGAACCCCCATTTGGCCTTCGGCTTTAGGTAGTTAGGCAGCCATATAAAAAACAGTAAAAACATTTGCAATGTTACACATTTCGCCAACTATAATAACGATGACTATTTTATCAAAAGGTAAATGCGCAATTTAGTCTGAATATAACATTAATTCATGATGTGCTTTAGTCTTTTCTTGATTAAACACTAGTTCTTCACAAGATTTTATCCCAGAATTACAAAGAAAATTTGTTAGTTATCCTTTAAATACTTCTAAATTTAGTCAAAACTAGTGCTGTAATTTAGTACAACATCCTATATCGTTTGGTTTTATCAAGATCGTATTATAGTCAGTTTGTTTTCATGTTACTCCATGACTTTTGATTTTTAAATGTTATCGGCACTCATAAATACATACATGTAACATCTGTCGAATTCTCAAACCATTTTACAATCTAGCTACAAACCTAAACCTAACTTATCATAGCGTTTCAAAAGATGAAGACAAACAATATTGAGCAATGTTAAGATAATTTAAATGCATAATAAATAAATACGATTTTTATTTCATGATAAAAAATTACTACTTCGAACTCATTGGTGTCTCAATATTTTTATTCCATATTTTACAGGTATTATGTCACGATATCCAATAAAATAAGTAAATATACAATAACATATAAGTTAGTACAAAAATAGAACAGCTTTGCTAAATTTTGATGTTTTTTTAAATACTTAAACAATAAATATTAACACTAAAAGCGCTATCCATTTAACTATTAAAATATTAGACTATACAAGTTCAATGAGTAATTGTTCTGTAAAGTATTTTACTATTAAATTGGTCGTAAGTAACTTGCGTTCATTTTCTTTTTTTTTACATACGAATGTCACTATAGTTTAAAAACACAATGTGGATGAAATTAATCTGAATAAATATAAAACAAACATTGAGCAGGTACATACTGATTAATAGTATGCCTAAAAGCCTCAATAGTTACAATATCTACAGCTAATGACCAAAATAACACTGATTTTCAAATAGACAAAATCAATGTTACATTTGATATACTTAAGTATTCATTGTACGAACGTAACGAAATGTTGAGCAAAGATGAATGAAATGAATATTTAAATTAACTACAACTTACACTAATGGCATGACTCGACGTTTATTCTTATCCTCTAGATACTAAAGAATATGACAATGATAATAAGTTAGTTAATAAAGACGTAGAAAAAAATCTGTACAAAACTTATAGGTATAAAAGTATAATATTCACAAAAGTGAAAATTTAATATCAGGTTTCTTAGGACTTCGTCCGTAGCACGACCTAGCACCATCATTTAAGGCGATCTAGCAATATTAATTACTTACTATCATAAATTATAAGCAAAATATAAATTCTGCGAGTCTAATATCTAGAGGTGCGATTGACCAATACAAGGTAAAATTCTAAATTTTATCAGGTATCTAACTCTAATTCGAAAGAAATGATTATTTCTTCTACATTATACACAAAAGAAAGAAGATGCAATAAAAGAACAGATATGATATGAAAATTTAGCATCTAAAAACAGTCTTCGGTAGGATTTTCAATCTAATATTGATTCAACCATCACGGGAGTGGTGTGGGTGAGGTTGAGAACCTAAGAGTCTAAGAGCCATCCATGCCGCAAGAGAATGCGCTGCTGGGGCGGGAGACACTGGAGGAGGAGGTTGAGCTGCCATTCGTGAACGAAGTTTCTGTAGCATTACTGCAGCAGCTAATGCAGCACCAGCTGCAGCACCTGCAGCAGAAGCGAAGAGCGCTCCAAAGCTCACTGCACCCATACAAATTCCGTAAACCACCTGAAAAAGTAAATAGTTTTTATGTTATTAATATAATAAAGAATATGAATATTATTATTATAGTTACACATGTATGGAGTAAGACAATAAGTATAATTGTTTGATAAACTATTATATTATAATTAAGTAATTTTACAATTTGTTTACTTACTTCTTCACGGATCCTGCCGCTAAAGACTGTCACTGGTTCCCTTGATGGGCCAAAAGCTAAATCAGCTTCTGATACGACTTCATATATACCCGATACACCGACATCGGCGGAGCGGCCTTCGCGAACAGCTCGTCGTTTACGAAGTGATCTAGGACCCGCAACGGCAGGGCCCATAGGTTTGGCAGGTACGATTGCTTCACCAGAAGGTTCAGATTTAGAATCGGTTATAAGATTACGTGGGCCATGCGGAAAACGGTCTCGATCTACTAGATTTATGGGGCGTTCCTGAAGATAAAAGTAAATGTTAGTTAATAATCAGTAAGTCAAATTAGCAAAAGTTTCATATTTTATTAACCATGAATTAACAATGAACTAGTATACTTACAGTGAAAGGCCTGGCTAAAGCTTCAACAAGGTCTTCGAAAGCGGACATTCGATCTGTATCGGGTTCCTTTACAGGAGGTGGAGCTCTTTGTGGCAGAGGCGCTGGCGCCGGAATTGCTTCGCCAGAAACTTCGTCACCAAATGCCTCTTCTAGAGGAAGACGTATCTCATGTGAAAGACCTCCATCTTCGGCTGAAGAATCACTGGAAAATTGTTATGAATCATAAGTATGAATCATAATATTACCTACATCTGAAATTGCTAATATTAGAGACTATTTAAGAACACACTATGAAAGTGTAGTCAATAAAACTTACTTAATATCATTATGATCTTGATGTGTTCTATCATCTTTTCGATCTAAGGCACCGTGTCTGTCTGGAGTGACTCCTGCTAATTGACAGTGATCTAGACAGCCGTGTCTGCAGATTTCAACTTTACACCTAATGTGTACGCTTAGGGCATCAGGGAACTTGAAGGCATGGAAGAATGCGTATGTTATGACAGTGGCTCGTTCATCAGCGGCCTTTGCCTTTAAAAACCTGAAAAAAAGAATGTGAATAATGTTAACATTTTAATCGTATAGTATGTACACAAAACACTTAGCACTCGTGATAGGTAGTAATAAATACTTTTCTTCTATTTTAACAAGGTAATAAAAGATAATAATAGGCAATATAAAAGCACCTTAACGGAATAACCTCAATAGAGAAAATTGTTTTGGAGAAATTCAAGCTTGTTCAAATGTTGTGTAAAACGTTTTATATATTTATTACTTGCTTTTTATTTAATTATCTATTACATTTTATGATGGACAAACAAATAATACTATTGTCATATCAGTAAGGTGGACTACTAGCAACTAAATCTATGTAATAAAAAAGAAATTGTAGCTCTGTTTCATCGCATATATTCCTGACTAGTAAAAGTGCTTACTAGTGTGTTCTGATCACAATTTCTTGGATAAATGATGATGATGATGATGATGAATTCCTCCGATGGATAAGAATATAAATGATTCTTTAGTCGCAAGAAAACCTTTTGAAAAACCTCTCAAGTTGTCGAGCAAATACGACCGATAGCTGTGATTTTTCAGAGCAATGTGGCAGAAAAGTTTCTTAAAATTACTCATTAATTTTGTGGTATCATAACAGAAACCCTACTACACCAGACCATAAGAGAAGGTGTTTGCTACGCTAAAACATATTTATCATTTTGTCTGACATGACGGTTTCCTAATCAATCGTCAAAATCAATAGTCATGGGACAGTAAATTATGGGTTTGATTAATAGATTTTAAATTTATGTTATTCCTAGCCCTCCTACTTAAATTAAGTTTTTCATATGCCTAAACAAGTACCTAGCCATTAAAGATCATATGATATTGTAAATCTATTAATATGTCACCTTGATATCATCTTGGGCCGCAGAACGCATCCATATTCATCTGACAGCTGAATCACATGTCCGGAGCCATCTGACGCGGCGCAAGACTTTACTCGCATGTCAAATTCACCTGGAATGTCCAAATAAGTAGATCTTATAAAAAACATCCAAATAATACTAGTATCCCTTACTAGTATTGTATAGTAACGTAACGAATACTGAAATAGTGTATTCTGTCGAAAATCATTGGATTTTTCTGTCGGCAAATTCATTATAATTTTTTTGGTTTTCTATTATTTTTTTGGTAAAAAATGATGAAAAATTATATCACATTTCAGAAAAACTAAAAACAACACTAAATTTATACAACATTAAAACTAAATAAATATTATGAAGTTAAGTGCAAACCAAACAGAACGTTTATACAAATATCGTTTAACGTAAAGGGCAGGCAAACACTCCGATGAGTCAACAAAGACATTATTGAAGAAAGCCGTCTTAACCAGCGCACGTGCCCTTTGTGAAACCACACCTTTTAAGAGCCTGCTTGCTTAATGTGTCTTGTACTTATATCAGATAATTCTTACGGACAACGGCATGGTAAAGCAAACGGTAACAATTTGGTGGTGTTCATGGTGTTTCCAATCACGTGACGTCACGGATAAAACATTCTATTTTTCTCAAAAGAAAATACAAAATCATTTTTTTTTTTCATTATTCGTCCTATTATTAGATGATTTTGATAACTATTGAACGAAATACTTATTTTTCATTTTTAAACATAGTCTGGGATTAACTGTTAGGGGATGCCTTGACTTGACTGGCTTTAACCCGCATCTATGTGGTCGTAAAGTTGAAACTCCTACAATCTACGGATGTAACTCGTGGTTATGTCTGCAATTTTACATATTATTTTCGCAATATTGTATGAATATTAAATAGAATTCAAGAGGAATGCAAAACCTGAGAACTGCTATAGAAATAGAAAGTTTTGCAATTCAATATGTGTGAAGTCTCAGTGACATATTCATACGGAGGGGATTTGATACATAGTAAATCTTAGCTTCAATGCACCACAACGACAAAGTACATAAAAGGACAAAGTTGCAATTTTATTACACACTGAAAGAGTAAGTCGTTAGTTAAATGGGTATACAATGGTGAGATTTGTCTTCAACATGGTTTATGACCAGACGAATGGAAAGTATGTAACCGATAATGCAATGTTCAGTCACAGCTTACACATACCTTTTGTTTTATTCCTATATTCGTTTATTTGTATTCGTTTATGTGTATTCGTTTATGTGCATTCGTCTTATGTGTATATTTGATGCAATGTATTTTTTAATAGCCTTAAATCTTAAAACAATTTACGAATATCTAAAACGGATCTAATTTATACGGATGTCTAAAACATGCTGTTTTTACAAATTCTGATGCAAACTGAGATTTCATTGCTTATACACCAAAAATTCGTTTTTTTTTTAAATTTTAAAGTCGAAAATAATCTGCCTGCGGCTGTTCTTCGAGAGAATTATAATCCTGGAATGTTAAAACTATCCAGACCTACTTTGCCACTTAATATCCAAATTGCATGTAAATAAGGTTTGTTGTAGAGCTAAAATAATAATGATAGTTATAACAGCCTATTCATATTCACTGCCTCGGTGGTGCAGTGGTAGTGTATGCGACGCCACCACTGCACCACCGAGGCACGGTACTATTATAATACAGTACTCCAACTTCATACAAACGGACGAAACGGGAGCTATACCTACGCGCCTCGATCTCGGGGTGCGCTCGGGGCGCAGACACTCACGGCTGTACCGCAGTGTCGAACGGACGGTGTGTTGTTTTTTTAACAATAACCGCGCGATTTTTTCTCTAAAAATCAGTTAATATGACGAGTAGGAAATATTGTGCTGTTTTTGGTTGTATGAATTCGTCAATAACGCATCCAGACATAAGTTTTTTTAAATTACCTAGAAACTCTGAAAGGTAAGACTATAAAATAATTTTACTTACTAGTAGGTACGTACATGTGTGTCTTTTTAATGGATAAGTATTTCCTTTTATCTCACGAAAAAAAAGGTGTTTGGATTAATAAATAAAGCGAATAGAGTAACGGAAAGTTATTGAGACGAGTGAAATAGGTAGTTATATGCGGTTCTGAATGAATCATGATACGGTAGGTACCTACCTACTTACGCTTGTGTTTAAACTTCGGTGTTTGCATAATTCAAAGTAAAGACGTGGTATTTTATTATTATATATTATTATAATATTTGTTTATTATCTGTGTGTATGAATAATACTAGATTTTTTTTTTACCGTCTGTGTGTCATTAGATAGTTTTCGAAATTTTCACAAAGTGTTTCTGCTGCTACTATAACAACATATACCACTAAAAACTGGTTTTATTTTCTCGGTATTAACAACAACAGCTAGACTCATATATAATATTTAGATGTTTGAGGGTTGTGCTTTTAAAACATTCGTAGTCAGCTGTTCAGCTTTTTAATAATTAATTAATTTTTTGACCAAAGAATTTTTGTTTTGAGTTGTTGCGAGTTGTAGGTAGGTACCTAATTTATAGAGACGTTAATAAGCTGAGATAAAAAGTTACTTACTCGTCAGCTGTTTCTAGCATTCTAATTGAGTAGGTAGGTGTTGGAGTTTCTAAGGATTGGAGTTTTGTAACGCGTACGGAGAAAGCACATTTTTTTTTCTATAGAATAATTTTTAAGCTATTGAATCAAGAAATTCTCAAAACCTAACGAAAAATACCTGTCACCACGCAGATTTTTTTCTTTAAAAAAAAAATGTTATTCAATAGCTTTGCCGCGGCAGTCTCCGAGAGTGCCACATGTATTTTTTTTTCAGACGTCTTCAATGGTTGCAACTGATCCGGCGAGATGATTTGGAAAACAAACCTAACTTTAGTTCCTAGTTTGTGAAAAACATTTTAATTTGGAGGATGTATTACATTCATCAAATAGAAAACTTTTAAAAAAGAATGCCATAAAATTGTTGATGCTGCCAAGCTTAGCTAGTACTGATCCAGGAGTCTCTCTAAAAGAAGATAAACAAACCCAAACTGCTCCGTTGGTAGGAAATGAAAATAGTACACAGACTGAAAATGCAACAAATAAAATCTTTGCTCAAACCTCAACGAGTCTCTCTAGCAACACTCCAAGAAAAAGAAAATTGAAACTTGAACTCCTCCAATGCAGAAAGAAAATAAAATAATTAAATCTACCAATCAAAAAACAACACGCATTTTTATTGAACACTTCCTATTCAATATACAAAGTATTTCATTTATTTATATAAAAAGGATATTTACAATCACAAATCTAAATAGAAACAGGAAGTAGGCAAATATAATTAAAATACTGGCAACGGGCAGCCCTAACGCATGTTTACGTACCGCGCGGCTGTAGGCATTTATTTCTATCATGCGGCCGAGTTACAATACTGTATTATAATTATACCGTGACCGAGGCGGTAAAATAACGCACGCTTCGCCATGTTCCTACTACACACTTCCCTCCTTTATAACAAAATCATTCACATAGATTGCAAGAAAGCTAGAGGAAAATGGTACACAGTAATAATCTGTTTCTTTTATCTACGACGCGTCTAATAAATATTTAAGCATTTATATTGTTGAAACAAAATCCATTATCATCATAATAGATATGTATCTCATAACGCACGATTGCAAATGACTATTAAGATAATTGAGATTTAAGAGATATAAATGTTATATTGATAAATCTATTGTTCTCTAATTGATTTCTTCGAATAATGTTTAAGTCTTTGTCTCGCTTTGATGTCTATCTACATGTATATTGTATTACTATAAAATATTTTCCCGCGTCTTCGCTTAAGATATTAAAAAAAGTTGTTCGAATTCGATTGTTTTATTTATATTTTTTACCTCAGAACTCCGTCACTTATCATCATCTTCTCAGCGTCTAATGGTCCACTGCTGACCATAGTCCCCTCCTCAGAAAGCAAGTTTTGGCCTACTATGAAACGCTGACGCCCGACGGGTTGGTATAGGATTTGTATCAGGTATTACTTCTCTATGTAGTGCTGTAATCCAGCGTAATTGTCTCCCTTAGTCAGCTCTTATGACAGCGACGGGATGAATAGAGGTAATCCTAATCACTTACAAACCGATTTAAAAAAATACTTTTTTATTTGGCTATACTTCCCGCTTCAAATTTAAGGAAATATACCAACCCTTAGGAAGGAAAATTCACTAATAAAGAATACAGTTTATTACAATCCATCTTATGAAGTCAGTGTTACTTTTTTAAACTCAATTGTCTCTATCAAATGTTTCCTAATCTCTGTGATTGTTTTTATCCAAATTCGTTGAGCCGTTCAGGTTTATCTTTCGAATCAGTCTATTATAGCGGTAAGATAATATAATATAACGGGACATATTACATAACGTTATATCTAACTAAACACAACTAGTACTGGCACTGTGGCTCTAGAACCCGAATGAACATACTTGAATATTTTCATGCAAATTTACGTAGAAACTTTACATAAAAATACACTAATACAAAAGTGAGTATATTTTGCACTGAAGGGGAATCAAATCTAGAACCTCAGAAGGCTTTGTGCTGGCCTCGAGGTCTCCACCATTTCATTAATAACGTATGGATATGTCTGACATTATATTACAGATACATATAATGCTATGTATGTACATATAACAATAAATGTCTGCTAGAGTTACAGGTCAAGTCGATTAACATTAATTAGCTTGTCACAATATCGGGGTTCTTAGCTTTACAAGCATAACCGCCTTGTAAATGAAAATGTTTAAAAAGTAGTTAGTTCTGAGTTAAGGAAGTTTAAAATTTAGAAGAACGTTAATAATTATACTTATAAATATATTTTAAAGAATTTTCTTTTAAATTTAGATTTCTAGATATTTACAATGTATGTGGACAATACTGGTATGTGTCAATTTAAAAAGTTCCAATTAAAATTTATACACACACCAAATGAACGCGCTTGAGGGACATATCTTCAAATTTGTCATATAATATAATATGTGTGAAAAGACTTAAAATAATATGTTTTTAGTAAATTTATTTAATGAAATTATAATTTGTCTCTATGTATAATACAAAGTGGATGTTTAAAAGCCTAGCTTATGTTGCGTATAAAAAGTTTAATATCTAAAAGAAAATTATTACATCACTGTTAATATTTTTGTCTCTATTTTTTTAAACTATGATAATTAAAATACTATTAAAACTATATACAACACTTTTATAGGCGTATTATCTATAAAATCGTATCTTCAGTATAAACCGGACGTGTTTAAAAGTGATCCATGTGGTTGTTCTGACCCGAGTCCCATAGTCGCAGGCCCGTTAAGCAAACTCCACCGTACATATTTGTCCAGTTCACTTTTTACAATTACCGGGTACCGTTACTGCGTGTAAACACTGTCATTACCCTGCAAGCGATTTTACGAGTTTTACTGCAGAGGAAATTTGTTTTGTAAACTTTAGTTTATGATGTTTGTTATGTACAAAACAAAGTAAAAAGAAAATGGACCCTGTTTAAAACGAAACTTTCGTCTAATGATGACCGACAATAACGGTAGTAATATACTAAGCATATTCATAATAATAATTTATTATAAAATAAGTGGGACATTAACAGACATCTTACGGATAGTAAGTCAAAACTTGGGATTTTTTTTAACAATAATAAAAAAAAATAAAAAAAATTAAACAGTTGCTTAGGAGGTGACGGAAATTTAGATCCCTTCTTAGATAGCGTAACGTCAATAAAAATAATTGAGTGTTGCAGTTGCACTTTTAGGCTTAAATTAAGGCTTGAAGCAAATTGCCCACATTATAAATTTATTCAATTGTAATAATCAATTGTGATTTAGAGATGTGATTGGACCAATTTCATGCTATTACTATTTGAACTCTGTTTCATACTTGTCAAGGATTCTATCTGTGCTATATATCCCATTACACATTTATATTTGCTAACTAAAAACATAAATTAAATCAACTTTCAGACTTCGAAGATTCTTATTCACACGAAGACACCGTTCCTTATTACTTATAAAAAGCAACTATTTCCTCTTATTAACGGAAGTGTCGGTTATCATTTTATTACCTCAGCTAAATGTTATAAATTATAATTATTGACATAAATTTTGTAAGCTTAGTAAGATGTTTCTGGCACGCTTACAAATACTTATACTAGAAAAAAAACTTTTACAATATGTAAATTTAAGCCTAATTTTCTAACTAAAATTAAAAATCTATATTAATATGTGCAAAAATTTAAATAATACTGATTGTGATTTACACACAGTTCATACTTCGGCAAACTAATATATTTTAGAATATAGGTAACTAGTTTCATAACTAGGTATATTCTTAAATATAAAAGTAACACTTTATTTGTTTTACTGCTAGAAGAACATTATTTATAATAATAATAATATTCAACCACATTCACACAACGCCATCTAGTCCCAAACTAAGCAGAGTTTGTGCTATGGGTACTAGACAACTGATATACATACATACATACTTTTTTTGTAAATACATACATATTATACATAGAAACACCCAGACCAAATCAAACATTAAATGTTCATGCTCACAAAAGATAATTATTAAGATAGTGGTAGTTTTATATTATTACCTACGAATGAAGTATACAGTTTTCGCAGACAATTATCCGAGAAATAATTGACGCTTAACACTCAATATTTGCCTTAGCTTTACAAATGAAACTGCTGTCGTAACTTATATATTCAAACAAAGAACGTCGGCATTTTTATAAGCCAATCTACAAAATTGCGTATTTTATGATCTACGAACTTTAAAAGGTTTTCATTAGTATCAATAATGGACAGCCTACACATAAATTAACAAATCCGGCAATCACACTAGACACAAATACCAAACATAGCAATAAATTATTGCTAAACAATTTAATATGCCAACGTTATTTGTAGAAAATTTGAAAGTCAAGTTTGAATTAGATCCCACGCATTAAAGTAACGTGGAAAATGTATCAGAAAACGAAAACAACAAAAAAAGTATGAAAACACCTTATCATACAAAGTAAAATTACGAAAACACAATAGATAATTTTGGAGCCTGTACCTTTTTTGGAGTAATTATAAGTAACAGCACTTTGTAATAGTCTGTTACGTGCATTTCATTAGTTGAGCAACCGCGCCAGATAAAGTCCGTTGATAACTGGTCTCTAACAAAAAGTCCATCCGTGTTAATGTCGCCGGTTGTGGCTGTTACGAACGTATATATCAGACGGTATCAGGAGTTAGTACCTTTAGATTTCTTGTCAACTACCTATACCTACTAGACATTATCGTTATGCTTATTTTCAAGGTGTAATTCAACTTGCATGTCCGATCTAAGCAATAGAAACTGGTTAAACATAAGTGTAAACAATTTTTTGTTGTGTGGAAATCATAACTATTATTTTTTAAAAGATGATAAGCCACACAAAAAAAGTTATAAGTCCATTACGCATTTACACAATTCTAAACTTTTTATGTTAAGCCATTTAATGTTAAGAGAAATTCGGATAATTTTTGATACGGAAGTATTCTTACCTCGATAATCATTGATAGCAACGACGAGAGTGAGGGTTGATCCTAGAGGGACGATGCCCGACACCGGCGGCGCCCATGGGCCTTTCCCAGCCTGAATCTCCATCCAGCAATCTACATTGTCTCCTGAAATTCAATCAACGTTTAGCAAGTGTTTCGGCATACTTGGTTTTAATTTACAGAAAATCGTGTAAGATGATTAGTCAATGAAGTAACAACGTTCATGAAATTGCATAGGTAGGGATTAATGTCCTGAATTTAATTGATGGATCTACATCTGGACTAATCCACATAGAGCATATTATACTTCAGCGTTTTAAAAATGAAAATATTTGCATAACTTTGTTACTTCAAACGTTGGGTGGACTTAACAGAACAGTATTTTTTTAACAAGTTTTCAGTGAGCCTTTTAGGGCAATAGTAAAGTTGTTACCTCTGAAGTCTAGCTGCACCACATCTAAATCAGCGATAACCATGGGTGGTTTTGAGGCAGTCTTTTCGTAGTCATTGAACCATTCGCATCGCAACCTCTTGGCTTCATCCCATACTTCTAAGAGATCCTTGTCGTATTGAACAACTACAGTATTCTCGTAGAACTGGCCGTGTAGATCTGGAATGAGAAGAATTCAAATAAGCCCGTGGTCTCGGTGTTGTAAGCTCCGATAAATTTCTTTATTAGCTTAGTTATTGCAGACTCATGGAAGACTTGCCACAAGCAAGCATTCAATCAGCCAGTCAGTCAATCAATCTAGCCGTACTAGAAATAAATTCAAATGGATTACCTAAACAGTTAATTCTCTACAAAGTTGGCATTTCAATTCTAAAGGCCGTAGCCAGTTTTCGTTCTACAGGTACTATAGTGACGCATTCGTTAGTAAGTAGACCCTAGATTAGGAACTTATTAAGTTTAACATGGAAGAATAAAAACAAAGAGAACCAAGTGGTGAACGTTCATGTATCGCAATTATGCAGAGTTCAATTATGGTCTTCGCTGTTTTATTTTGCAGCATAAAAGATAACCTATATTCTTTTGATTTTCCCTAACAACAGTATGCAAAATTGATCATCAATATGCAAACATAAAATGATCTGTTTTAGTAGATAATCCGAATTTCACTACAAATATGATAATATAATATGCGTGCTTTAAATATGCGATCTATTGTCTGTCATGTCTGATACAAGAACAATCTTAGCTCCCTACTCTACCCTTCAATACTAAAACAAAAGCTTTATATTTTTACCGTTACTTGATCGGAAACTAAACCTAAGCGGAAACGTTTAATTAAAATCATTATACATGAATATTTTTTATTTACGACTTTATGTAAATACTCGTACATACTTATATTGCAGCATAATCTCGACAAATGTCATTTTATGTTCTTTTTATGGTACCGAGAAAAGTTTAGGATTCAATTGCAATAAATTGTAGTATTATGAGGAATTTATATGATTTACTCCAATATATGTGACATTATACGGTAACTAAGCTAATTATATATTTGATATATGTAGGAAATAAGTGGTTTCATGAAAAGGATATCAGAATATTGCCAACGGTAGTGCCACGTAATTTTAAGGATTAACCTGTAAACATCCCACGCGTTTGTTTAATTCTGAACTTCACCTCAAAATACAATAATTTTATTACTTAGACCTTTACCATTGCTAGGGTTGTACCCACGCGGATGTACTCACGCAAAAAGTGGAAGTTACCCGAAGAACGCGGATCGAGCTAGAGGTCTCGGGTCGAGGACGCTCAAGCAAAATCGACCCATAACCCCCTTTCAGTATACCAACTATTAATACATTCTACACATACACAATCTTAAGAGTTTGTGTTCGAGTGACATATTCAGCCTCTATTTCATAAGGTATAAAATCGTTTTTACGCTGTCACCTGATATACTTATGGTCCGGAGCACTTTAAGTTGAAATTACTACATCATAGCTGGAAGGAAATACACTTGAAAGTAGTCGATTGAGGGATGGCGTCTCAGAGTCGAACTCGCGGGGGAAACTGGGCTTTAGGTTGCGATGCTATGCGGTCAAGCGGGTGGCAATTCCAAGAAACAATGCGCGAGCGATATTCGCAGAAGGAGCGGGACGCATGCGCTGTCCGTTACTCCATACTAGCCATAGTGGACGCGACTAGGAATCACAAGGAGAAAAACTCACTGACTTTGTTGAAATGGGACCGATGTGCCGTAAAACTTGAATGCTGAGGATTTATTGCGAAATTGTTACGAATTACCGATAGTTACTGAGAATCTAAATGCGATACAGGATCGAGTTTTGCGACATATGGTAATGTTTAACCGAAGATTGTGAAGATTGTGTTGTGGGTACGGGCTTGTTTTCAAAATGATTGTCCTCTTCTTTCAGTACAATTACTTCTGCTTTCAATGAAAAAAATTTAATTTATTAAATTTATTTTTTTCGTCCACTTTCTTCCGATTGACCAAAACACGTTTAATTTTTAGCGCAATCGAACCAATTGCATTTTTCGGTGTATTCAGGAATATGATTGCTTGCAAAAATATAACATAGTATCTATATATTCTGGTCACAAAAATCTATTAAAAAAAAGCAGTAGCACTCCGGGAGTGCCGGCGAAAGTGAAAACTTGTTTTTTTTTTTGTTTTTATTATATCAGGATTCTTTTTTTTTCGATTCGAAAAGTTTCGACATGAATATTTACCTATGTTGTACGTATTTACACAATATACGATTATATTATTTATAGTTATATTATCAATGTATTTCAACCCAAACTAAACCGTGGTGTTAACGGGCCAATATATGTAAATACTTATATACAGATGTGTCGGTAACGGTAACAGTGTCGCGAGTTCAATAGTTTTTTTCCCATCTCAAAAAATACATTATTTTGTTTGTTCTTCAAAAATGCCCAACACGCCTAAAGAAGTTTTTACTTAAAAAATCTGGAAGAGGAGAAAAACCAGCAGACGGGTTACCTCATGGAAAGCGACTACCGCCTACTAAAATGAAGACTGTATGGCTCTACACATAATAATAGGGGTTATAGTATGAAATTGCCATTGTATAGTAATAGATACTTTAAATTGACATAGAACCTTCATAGTGTGAGATTTTCGTGTTAAACTTTTTAACATGACACCTATGAGATTATTTTTAATAAAAATATACAACATTCGATTTTCGACTTTCAATTGCTTTTTTTTTATTCAGCTTAGAGATAAATGATGGTTACTTCGAAAATCCGAGTTATTTTTAATACGAGTTCCGTTACGGAACTAACGCGCCAGAAACGGCTCGCAAAATCAACGCTGCGTTAGGCGAGGAGACTGCTAATAAACGCACTGTGCGTTTTTGGTTTAAACGCTTTCATAAAGGAAACTTCGACTTGAAGAACGAACCACGTGGAAGACCGCCTACACGGGTGAAAACGCTGAATTGAAGAAGATGGTTAAAGTCGATCCGAGTCAAACTACCCAGGAATTAGCGGCATGGTTTAAGGTTACCCTACCTACAATATTGACTCATTTGCATCAAATCAATAACATTAAAAAAATAATGGGGGCCTCATGATTTGTCTTATCTTGAGAAAGAAATGCGTGTTGAAACTTGTGTTGCCTTGTTGAATCAGTACAGAAATAAGGAATATTCGATGGAATTGTGATATGTGACGAAAAGTGGATTGTTTACGATAGCTGTAAGCGAGAAATGCTGACCCCAGGTCAAACGCCGCAACAGTGCCCTAAAGCAAAGCTTACCAATAAAAAAGTAATGGTAACTGTTTAGTGGTCTCTTCAGCTTTCTCAGGTCTGATCAGGCAATAATAGCAGATGTTTACTGTGCCGAACTTTGAACAATGATGGCGAAACTGGCAGTGAAACAGGTCCCTTGCTCCAACGGGACTACCATTTTTTTCGTGATTTTGACAATTTTCTAAGTGATAGAAACAATCTTCCCAGGAGGCAGTACAAAATGCTTTTACACAGCTTGTCGAAAGGCATAAATGAACTTCTGTTTAGACCGCAGCAATGTATAGATAATGAGAGTAATTATTTTGATTAAAAAAACATGTTACATCTTAGAGAAAAACTAGTTTCAATTTTTCAGTACAAATCGGCAATTTTATACTTTAACCCCTAATATTAACAATAATTGAAATCGAGAGTAAGCGTGTTTGTGTGTAGTGTGTATGTAGAGTGTACGTGATTGTGCATATGTGAGTGTTTAAGCGTTAACGCTAGCTTGTTATGATTGATAAACGTAGTCCGTTTATGTATGAAGCGCATATACATAAATTGAAACATATTTTAACATAATATTTTTTTATAAATTTATGCTTCTTTTTCATCCTCAGCTATTTCTGGCACACTTCTATAAATAGGTCTCTCCCAAAATCTGCCAAGCCTTTCTGTCTGCGGATGTCGTCAACTCATCGTTTTGTGTTGGGGCTCCTTGGTCTGACGTTGTACTATGGTTTCCATTCCAATTTGTGTTTATACAATACTATTGCTTGTTCCAGTTTTTTTTTTACTCAACTGTCGCTTAATATGTGAGTTTGGAAGTAAGTCGCTGAACAATATAAATGTTTTGTTTTTTTTTTTTATGTTAAAATATTTTTAACGAAGTCAAATAGTATGTTACTCTAAATTTCTATATATCTTTGTCATATTAGTTTTATAAAAGTATTCTAGGATAGCATTACAAGAAAATAAGAATAATAACGCAACGCATGGGATGGGCACAACGCATTTGTAATTAAATATTTATATCGGATGAAATTTTTAATATGGTAATAAAACTCGTGATTTAAATTATTGCTACTAGTTTATTCTATTCAAAGTAACTATTTTCTATAAACCTTAGTATATTAATTTTAAGTGCAGTTCTGTTAAATAACTATAATTTATGACAAAAATCAAGTCCTCTTTAGATTAAACAACGAAACACATATATGTATTTGATTGTTCGGAGTTCGATTCCCATCCAGGACAAACAACTGTGATGAGCACTTTCATTTGTTCTGCATGTAGATGTAATTTGTCTATAATATGTTCTACTTCAGCCTATTGGTGTCCACTGACGAACGAAGATCTCCCCCGAAGAGCGCCAACAATCCCGGTTTTGGGCCGTCCGCATCCATCCGCTGCCAGCCATTTATAAAATGTATGGATATATAAATAATTAAGTGTATTTATAAGCAGTCTGATTACCAGTGCCTGTGATATGGTAATCAGAGTGCTTATAAATTCTAAATTGCTTATAAATGCTTATACATTCCAAATCAGGCAGTCCTAATCGGCAATCAGATGGCCGTATCCGAGATGTCTCGAGTTAGGGTGTGAGATTACTTTTATTATTTATTCTTCTAGATACATTCGGAATATTTACTGTCATTTTACTCTTTTTTTTAATTTTTTAACGAGTTATTGTCGTATTAACGCTGTGTGTAGGTAAGTGAGTACAGAGTACTTACATAAAACATGTAATCTAATGATACAATTTAACAACTTATTTTATGCATCATCTCAAAAATAGTTTTAACGCTTTGCATTAAAAATTTTGTTTGGGTTTAGATATTGCTTCTAAACTTCCCGGTCCGAGAATCGAACCCACTAAGCCAGCGCTTTTCAAATTTTACGTGAAAGAAGTCGCGGGTACCAGCTAGTTCGTAATAAAGAGAGTTTTCGTGTTCCCTATTAATAAAAAAAACTTTTTTTATTCCAAAATCGAACAATTCGTCACAATTGAAGTCCATCATTATCATCATTAATAGCCTTTGATATTCCACTGCTGGACAAATGAATCTCCTTAGAAAGGAGTTTTGGCCTACTATACCACGCTAGCCAGACTGGTTGGTATAGGGTTGGTATCAAGTTTTCCTTCTCTCAGCAGTGCTAGTAGTTTGATCTCTTAGTCGGCTCTAACGACAGCCACGAAATTAATACAGGTTGTGACTCTATTCACATATCTTAATACATCACCAAACGGATAAATTGAAGTTCAGTATCCCAATATTAAAAATATAAAAACATATTCCTGATGTTCTTTACTTTTTGTTTTTGTGTGATGTACGTTACTTTACGAAACGTTACGTTACGAAAATAATATTCGTAGAAGTGGTTTCTACTCTCTTTAACATCTAAGACTTAATAACATATAATTACTTCAAAATAACTTATTCACATACAATAGATTGTAAAACATACTCTTACACAAAGCTTTCATGTGAAATTAGAATGGTAGTACACAATAAATCGATTTGTTTAAACGATTTATTATACCGAGTATCTATCCGATTGCACGAGTTCGCATCATTAGCTATTGGATATACTTATTGATTTCACACATTGATCACGGTCTATTTACTCGTGTCCAAGCGATGCACGATTTAATTGTACTATGTGGATTTTATCGTAAATCTTAACTTTGCTTTCACTTAATTGATCCTTTAGTTATTAAAATATTAAAATTAAAAATACGTAAATTGTAATATTTTATAAGAAAACATTTAAATACTATCTTATAGAGTATACATACTTAAAATTCCAATATTTTAAGAAATATCCTTCTCGGATGTTCTCGTCGAACGAAATCTAACCATAGCGATAAGATCTTTAGAGAAATACTTTATTCTCACTTTTTTTTTTATAAAAGGACAAAGCACATTTTAGCTTGTCTTGAAGCCATTGAAGCTTGTCCTGCTACAACCATGAGATGATTTTCCAGTCAGTTCATTGACTCATTCATTGATCATCTCATAGTTGTAGCAGATTCCAACAATATATATACATATATATATAATTAAACACCGTTCCCTTACTAATCAAAATACTCGTAGAAATGATGAATAAAAAACAGATTTCTATTTAAACCTGTTTACATGAACATTTAATGTGTATCAGAAATATACCATACTTTTTTAAGAGAATAAAAAAATATAGTATCTGATATCAAAGTTTCAAGTGTCAAAGTTTTTAAATGAAATTTAAAAAAGAACAAATGGATTTTACTTTTGAAAAAATTACAATCATAATTTGAAATTCTGAAATGTCATATTTTTAAATCATTTGACAAACATGTGCATAATTCGTGTTAGGAGCTCATGATAGACAATGTCGCTAATGTAATAGACAAAGGCGTGCTAACCGTCTACATTTTAAAAATTTTGGTCCCACTGACTTAACAGGTGACAAGACTATTGCTAATAACCGGGTACATAATGCAGATATATTTCTAAACACTTATATTTCTAAATAGTAAAAATAAAATAGACACATAACATAGAACCAAATACATACCTGGTTTAGTCCCGCATTTGGCGTACGCAATTCGAAATGAGAAGTAAGTCTGGCCCGTGGATGGAGGCACGTACACACATCTGGGGTCACCGTGCTGACCTGCGGATAAATTATAAGCATTATTACACATAATGATGAAGTAATCATTACAGAATATAATTAACTTAAATCATATAGCGTAATGTGATAATTTAATCACCATGGGTATCATTCAGCATAGATAATAATATTTGAATTGTGAGTTCGTATTGTCTGAATAAGCAATGAATAATATGAATGAAAATAAAGTTGATTGCACCCAAAGCTCGTACTAGACATACACGCCTGTTCAGTGTTCATCTGCACCGCACTAATTATGGTAAGACTGTTCTCACTCGCTCACATAGCTGTTATAATGATAATTTGGCAATATCTTCCACTTCTCAAAAAGTGTCTTTAAAAACAAATCACTAAAAGGTTTTAATCATAGGTACTTGTAAATCTAAATCAAGATTGTTTTTTTGTAAAACTTCTCTCTCTGCACAATATACCTCAATAATAAATAGTATAGTATATTCATAATTTCATTTGTATTATGTTTTAAGTAGTGCACGCAATTTCACTTGTCGGAAAACTTTATTATTACTACGGCAGTAGTTGCCTCTTTCTAAAACAAAGAGTATTAATATGCCCTCTGTGATACAAATGTCTATAATTCTAGGTTTATCGCAAGAATGACATGATTTTATTATGTCCTTATGTTAATAAATAGTAACACAACGGATCCAAGTAATGAAATGGACGATAAACTCGCACAATTAGCAGTTACTTTAAAGACCTGTCTAACTGACGTGATCATAAATGTTATGGGCTCTTAAACCTAACACCGTTAAATTCTACTTTTACTTGATTCTCAATGTAAATATTTTTACAGAATTTCAAGTGTCTTTAAAGTAAATAAAAGATGACGATATGTCAATCTGTTTTTGACTGTTGGGCTAATGTTTCGAAATTCTAACTGCTGAGCCAGAGGACGTGGGTTCTATTCCCACCCAGGACAAATAGTTGTTTGATGAGAACGTTTGTTATTTCTGTGCCTGAGTATAACTTATCTGTAAGTAATATTTCCGTGTGTTCAATTCTTTTTTTTAAGCTTTCTAGCAACCGAAATTACTAGTATTCCCGTTAACCCCTCCAGTTAAGCTAAATTGCTTGTGTTAGGAGTGGGTTCACGACCCACGACCTCTTGATCGCAAGTCCAATGCCTTAACCACTAGCCTACCGTCGTTTAATTTTAGTAGTCCGGTTAGTCTACTTTGGGTTTGTACCGCAGTTTTTTTAAATCACAGTGTGTCAAATTACTATTCTTTTTTTAGTTGATAATGTTACCTAATTTAAATAGAACCTATGAAAGGAAATTTTATTACAATTTACGTGTATAATGTATGTATCTCATTTATATATTTAGAATATAATTATAAATATGCTAAAAAAGGAATGTTTGTCTATCCAATTATTTCTATTGTTTTCTGGAGGACGAGACCTGTATTAAAACGTATTTCTGTATTTTGTCAAGTTTATCTAAAGATAATATAAAGTATTATTAGCAAAGCATTAGCATTCTATCAGCGTGTTAGCGAAAATCGATTCGATAAATATTCGTGCGAATGAGATTAGACTTCAAGTAGGGAACCTGAGGCCCAGTGCCAGTTTATTTCACGCGACGGCGACGCTGCGAAATAAACTCAATTGGCCCTTATGACATTTAAAAGCACATCCCATGTGGTGGTGTATCACTACGTGGCGTAGTGCACGTATTTAAAATACAGTAACTGCTCAAAGTGCTTTCTTCTTTGTGTATACAAATATTTTTCTGTTTTTTTTAAATTAATTAATCGTACACTAGTAACGATATATAAATAAGTTGAAATTAACTGCCTTCAAGATAATGACTTGTAACTGTATAACTTTGTGTTAACTGTAACATATTTTTTAAGGTATAGGGGGTCACTTGATGGTAAGTTTCTACCGCTTATTACAACATGACATATTTTTAATAACATACGTTACATAATAATAGTAATAGGAGTTCGAACAAGTAGTTCCTGAGTAAAGCACGTGTGACCAAACCAAGGAAAAAAAACAGCTTAATAATATTAGTAATAATTAATAAATTAATGCGGAATTGCGATTTAAAAATAAATAAATATAATGTGAAGTACTATAAGTACAATTATTAAACTTTCAAGCTTCTATTACTAGCTAATTAAGCAAGCCAAGTCTATATATTCAACCGTTACACTCATTACAATATCTTTAGTAAGCTAAACAGACTAATAACTACAGGAAAACCTATTAAGAGCCGCTATGCTCTACTAGAGTTATGTGGTTCTGTGGAAACTGCCAGGGATTCTATTTAATTTTTAATGACTTGCAATATTGTAAGATTTTTAACAGCTTTCTAAGCTAATCTAATAGCTTCAGCTAATCCTAGTAAAATTGAATTATAGAAAGTTTATGTTCCAAAATTTAAAATAATAACTTGCTTGACTGACAAGAAATCACCTTATTTAGTTCGTAGACATTAAGAAAATATGATTTGAAAACAAAGATAAAGGCTTTTAAAGAAAATCTCTAAAAATTTGTAACCTACTTGGAAAAGGATGAAGTGGTGAATGCAGATGGATTTTTACATTCGTAATGCCATATCTTAGCGTTTAAGAAGCAACGAAAATTTTACATCCCAATACTACAATACCAATGAAATACAAATTAATTAGAAATTACTAAAAATTTAATTGAACCTTTTTTTAATTAAAAATTGGGATTCTTGAAAAACATTCTAATGATAAATTAATCAATCTACCCCTGTAAACGCCCGATAATGAAGTCGAACTGAATAAGTTCATAGCTTTCTAACTATTAATTTGATATTGATTTGAATTTGAATGTAAAGATACATTTTGGTCCTTTTTTAACATGGATCATTGTCACCGTGTTGAATAATTTCCAATATCTGACTTTTATGTAAACACCGTTAACCTAACATATATACTGTAAGCTCAGTTACTTTCTATTAACTTTTAAATGTATAAAATATGAGGATATCGTTATTTTGTAAAATAGTTATTTTCTAAAAAAGAAATTCTGTACGCACAGCTATTTTTCATATCTAAGTAGTTTAAAACTGTGAAGCTTCTTCAAATACGGCTAGCTTTAAAAGTAATGTGACGATACCAAGATTAGCACGCGATGGAATGTCGTAAGATACGGTATAGACCACAAAAGTCTCCACTGCTATAACACAGCAACATAAATTATGTGATAAACATAACAGTAAAATAACTGCTAGTTCTGAGGTGACAGTTACTGTCTAGATATTTTGACACAGTTTTTAAAATTTTAAAAATAAATATAAGATATAAATAATTTATTTTTCTTTATTGATAAATTCTACTACAAAAGTCCCACACAAGATAATCACTGTAGCCTTTAGTAAAACTTTTACACAGTATTCTAGCTAATGTAATGCAAAGGAAGATTGACTGAATCCCAATAATTGACTCTCTAATAATATCTATCGAATATCTATCATCTCGGCGCAGGGCACAAGGCCTTGAATATGTAACTTTGATGCACTATCAAAAAAATTTACTCACAGAATGATAGAACAAAATTTAATTTTGCCTCTGCCATTGCTAACCAACAATAAACAGCAAAACTACCAAAGATAAAGCTAAATTGTATCTATACAAAACGTTGTTTGTCCTGTAAAACGATTACGTAACATATAATATCTCGGACATTACGCAAAACTATCTCATGAATCACATAAATATTGTTGAAAGAGTTCAGGCTCGTCTCCATGTCAACCACATCGTCTAAATTTAAGAGAAATATACATAAATTAAATAGTTTAAAGTAGTGTATATAACAGTAAACGCAGTACTAAAAGCTCGCTAACTGGAGCATACGTTATAAATAATTCACTAAGTATGTATCCGTCATAATTGTTAGTGAAACCTTAGCAATTACTTACTACAATTAGTGCAGGTCTGAATACTCGCTAGTTTCTAATAATTTCCTCTTAGTAAGTGCTTGTCACTATTTAGTACACTAGGTAGTATATTCAGTGAGCTTCTCACTATCTTGATGACTAATAGTTATTTTAAGAGGTCAGAACCCATAATGTCTTCAAATAGTTGTTAAGCTCTATTTGTAATTTCATAGCCCTTAGGTACCTATACGCGGTACGTATAAATTTAAGACTTAAGTTTAAAACGAATAAAAGTTTGAACTAAATTTACATCCAATATAACCTCCTTTCTAAGGAGAGGCCTATGTCCTGCAGTGAACTATTAAAGGTTGTTGATGATGATGATGATAACACACACTAAAGTGATTGCACTAAGTAATGCGAGCTTCAAATTTAGGTGACATAGGTGAGTCAATATTTATATGGAAAAAACATAATAATATAAAACAACACTGCATTTTGAAATTGTTCTAAGCGTTATAGCAGTGTGATACTCGTACATTAAATTGTTTTTTTTTTTTATTTATTATGGACTATACTTCACTGAACTGAACACACTACACACTATACTTCACTGAACTGACTACAAGAACACATTGTGACTTAATAGTAACCATACATTTAAAAAAATATATATATTAAGGGACAAAAATTTACTGGTAAAACTTACTAACGAAATAAATGTAAGTTTGCTTGTTTATTTACTCGTATGTCTATCGTTTGTAGAAATACACAAATAGATTTACGTATTTATAGGCAACTGAGTCAGCCTGTGAAGACTGCCAGTACAGCCTGGTCGAAACGTCAGGCATTTCAACGATATGTACTTAATGCCTATCCTGTTAATTCCTGTAAACATAATTATATATTATGTTATATATATGTTATAAGTGAGAACAAACCGTGAGTAAAGCTATCACATAAATATCTGTAACATACCTTTGGATGAGACGATGCCCTCGAAGGGGTGTGAGAAAGTGAGATGCACGTCCATGTGATCCTTCCCACACATAACTTCTAACGACTGGATAACTGGCATGCCGTCCGGCCTCTCCATAGGCCATAGTTCACCCGCTCTCACCCGCGTCTGTACAACAAGTATTATAAATTGTAAAATATGTGCATAAAGCAGCATTTCTTTTTTTATGTTCAGGTGAATGACAAAGTTATTTTTCATACATTGTCGCATAGTTTTGCTTTGGCTCTATGTCTTGCTCAGGCTTAAGATGGTCCCGTTCCAATTATATTTTTGACCTCGATTTAAGCCAAAATTCAAATTTAAATTGTTTATTTACTTTGGATAGGGTAGTACATAATGTGTTATTACAAATTTCATATAAGGCAAAAATGCCCGTTGACCTATAAAAAAGCATGCAAATTTAAAATGTTAAAATATCAGTAGTGCTCTGTTAATGTCTAATAAATATAAAACGTCGATTTGTTAGACAACATCCTTAGTGTCAATGGTGAAAGTATTGTTTGAGTATCGGGTTTATGCGCATAAATGGTCACAGCATGACATCATGCAGACAATCGTGTGAAAGTTAATCCCGATGTGTCTTTGGAAAACATCACAAATCGCCACTATAATAAACAAAAAAGAAAAGTCAACTTGTGATATTGGTGTTATTATTAACCATGGTTACTAGTAATCGGACTAAACTGGCAATTCTTTAAAAAGATTTATATCTAAAAGGGTTTTATAAGTTTGATGCTCTGCGAAACAGTATCTTAAGTATTATGCCTTAAGTATTAAGTTTATATAGTCATCATTAACAGCCTTTACTAGTCCACTGCTGGACATAGACCTCTCCTTAGAAAGGAGGTTTTGGCCTACTATACCACGCTGGCCAGACGTGTTGGTTACCTTCTCTTTGCTGTAGTCCTACGTAATTTGCCACGGGATGAATAGGGATGATGACACTCCGTATTCTTAATCACTACACTACACCACATCACTATATGATAACTTCAGGATGACTTAAAAAATGCCTTAGGCATTAAGAATGTCAATAAGTGTATTTTAATAAATTAAATGGATTTATTAGTGATTACTAAAATACATTAATATTAATTAAAACTATATTTATATGCGTATTCTTAATCTGTCAACACACGTATATTTCGTATAAACGTGAAAATACATGTTTGGTTTTGATTATGGATTTTAACTTAAAAAAGCTAGTGTAGCTGGGTAGTTTTTAACCATATCTGGAGAACATTTTGTTTAACAGTTTTTAAATTTTTTTTTTATATTGTGTTAAACATTTTATTTTATGTGTTACTATAAATTCTGACATCAGTACTTTATCTACAGATATTTCTGATTATTAACATTTGTATGTAGATTCCACACAGAAAGTATGAATTCACTCGAGATATATTTGAAAATTCAAATTCTAAAGGCACAATGTGCAAAATTCAAAAGCCAACTTTTGGCCTTTTATGAATGTTATTTCACAGTTGGCACACATCTGTCTATAAATACTATTCAACAATTTTGCCAGCTAAATTACAAAATTTACCTTTTTACTTAGTAACTTCCATGATCAATGTGCAGGATTATAAAAGAAAACAACAATCAAATTACCTTTTCCGTCAACATCAATTATTGAGTATTTATGTAAGAAGCAAATTATTATACCTTATATACACGAACAAAAACAAACTACCTTTTATTGACAATAACATTAATATTTTCGTCTTGGTAATTAGGTTGATAATCGGGCACAAATACTGTATCTGTATGTATGTATATATTAAGTTAGTATTTTCTGTACAATTAGCAAAGTGCCACGGCTGGATAAGGAGAGGTAAAACAACATAATAAATTAACAAAGAATTTTTTTTGAACGGTACGTTTACACCAAAACTGGATGATTGGTATCCTTTGCTTGACGAACTTCAAAGAGTGAAAAAAGTGACAGACCAGTCAAGAGTTCTCTACTTATTATAACTACTACTCTCCAGCTAATGCTTCTTAAAAATATTTAAAATTAATAGTTTTAATTATTAGATTTAATAGAGATACAATATATTTTAAGGTTTTAAGACTCGTATCCCTTATGAATTTATGTTAAAGCCACTTTATGTTATAATAGTACATCTATTAATCGTTCTCAATCTTCAATTAATAGGCTTTGTTTCTTTTTGGAAGTTACTAAAGTAATTAATACCCACCTGACACAGTCAGAGTACAAATAGCGCAAAAAAATACCGAAACGCTCTGTTTAAATTCTCTCCATACTGGCCTGTTTGCTTTTCATTATTCAATTATGATGTTCTCGAGGCAATAAAATCATCGGTAATTTATACAATAATACAATCGGGGGTAACGAGCGGATCAAAAGCAGATTTCAATCGTAGTCTTGTAAACTTACAGAATTCTCTGTTAAATAGTTATACAGTTACTACATTTATTTGGTATAATTTACATATTATGTAAAACGAGAGGGTGATAAGAGAATAAAATAAATTCTTTACATAAATTAAAAGACTTATCTACGCGCATTTGTACGCTAATCTGTGTGCAAAAACGATTTGATGAATCACGAGCGCACGTTCCGGGAACAGCAGTACAAGCGCATTTTGTTCCCACGCACGCGTCAATAAGAAATTCAGAAAACAAGACAGCTAAAGAGGAATAGGAAAACTATAAAGTTAATTTTTAACTGATTTATTATATTGCCTACAATAATCGAACAATTTATATTTAAAATTACTTTTATGGCTATGGTATTTTGTAATATGTTGTTATTTTGATAGTTATTTGCTTTTATGTAATGCATTTAAAATGAATCGGGATAGTAACGGAAAGGATAAGTGGATTTTTAATATTGATTTTTTTATATCCATTAGTTCATTATCCTTAATAATTAGTCGTTATTAAGTTTGCTTAAATTTCTCTTATATAAATATGCTAATGATGTTAATATAGTATCGATCTCTTAAATTTATAACGTATCATGTTATGTACGGAATGTTGCCAAATAAAAGAGAGTGATAGCAAACGAAATAAAAATATTTTAACAAATAAATTCATTAATACAGTCTTAATATTCAAAACTACACTACACAGGAAATATACCATTCGGTTTTAACGAGAAAAAAAGTCATAATATCAATTAATATGATTTTGAAACTGACCGACTCGAGGTACTTTTATTTAAATGGCTTAGTAATAGCTTCATCTGGTGTTAATTCATATTTCTAGAACGTGGTGATAAAAAACAAATAAGCACATGATGCAATAAGATAAAAATATTTTAAGTGATATGTTTTAATCAAATATACACAGTTAAAATTAGGAGGTATCTTTACATGAATACGTGAAGAGAATTCAAAGAATTACGAAATTTGGAATGAAGAATACTAAAAGTTTAAAATAAAGAAAACTAAAACTTTAAAAATTACATAAAAGCTACTAAATCTTTCTATACCATGACAGGTATTGAAGTACCATGAAGGAAGAAGGTATGGTAAGATACACGGTACATACAGGTATGGTATAATACAATCTCCAGTTATTATATCCATCTTCAAGAAACAGTTTCCCCCGGCCTAGGCCATGTAAGTTGTCGTGCGGCAGCCAAACCTAAATAATAACAAGGCCTACTCAATAAAAATATTTGAATTTGAGGATGACTCAACTATATAAGACAATAGATCTTTTTTTTTAAGTAGGACCGACTTCAAACAATACTAACAAAGAGCACTAAAAACCTAGCAGCAATCGCGTTTGATTTGTTGTCATTTTTTGTAGAGTTCCGTTGCCTGTTTTCGAAACTCATAATCAGATCAGAATCCCCTTTCGAACAAAAAAATAATTTTTAAAATCCGTTTATATTGACGCAGTTGTGCCCGAACATAGATAAAAAAAATATATACATCCCAATTGACAACCTCCTCCTTTTTGAAGTCGGATAATAAATACGGCATTTTCGATAACAACGTCGATTGATTATCTAAGAACAGTAGTTACTAAGTAGATAATACCTACTTCATAACTGTGGTATTCTCGCTCACAGCATTTAGAAACACGCCTGATTGTTACGTTCTACTTTCTTAACACTCGTAAGCGCAATGAAATGCCAGTAATTTCATTATTATCTGGTTATTGGGTGTTTGAGGCCGTTTGTTGACGACACGTGTAATTATACCCATATAATGTAGGCTGTGCTAGAGATTATAAGAGCCTGATAGGTCTTTTTAATGTGAAATGGTATTTGAATACGAAGAGGTTGGAATTTTAAGTAGGTGTGCAAGGTTTTTTAGCTGTCAGATTGGATATTACTCGTTCGTATTCATATAATAAAATGTAAGAATATTGGGTGTTGTCAGTATTTTTACTTTTAACTTGCGAGTCATCATTAGCAACAGCCTTTAATAGTCCACTGCTGGACGTAGGCCACACCTTAAAAAGGAGGTTTTGGCCTACTACACAACGCTAGAAAGACGGGTTGGTAGAGGATAAGTACGAAATCGAGGGCCTATTCCCGCAGCGGGCGGAGCACACACCCCCGTCGATGGCTGCATCAGCCGGAGACGACGGGGGCAGCGAGGCTGATGTTCCGCCCGTCAGGGAATCGGAGTTGGGGGCGGCTGTTCTACGGATTAGATCCAAGAACACTGCCCCCGGGCCGGACGGGGTTCCAGCCCGAGTGATGGCCCGAGCCCTCGACTACATGTCGGACCACCTCAGGGGGGTGTTGGACGCTAGCCTGGCGTCCGGACGCTTCCCTGAGCGCTGGAAATGCGGGAAGCTGGTCCTGCTGCAGAAGCCGGGACGGCCTGCCGAATCGGTCGCGGCCTATAGGCCTATCGTGTTGCTGGACGAGGCGGGTAAACTTTTTGAGAGGGTGCTTTCTGCCCGCATCGTCCGGCACCTTTGCGAGGTTGGCCCCGATCTGTCGGACGCCCAATTCGGTTTCCGAGCGGGGCGTTCGACGATCGATGCCGTAATGCGCCTTAGGGCCGTGACCGAGGAGGCCGTGAGCTGCGGCGGAGTGGTGTTGGCGGTGTCCTTGGACATCGCCAACGCCTTCAATAGTCTGCCATTCAGCTGCATCAGGGAAGCGCTCCGCTACCACGGAGTGCCGGAGTACCTGAGGCGGCTGGTGGCAGACTACCTTGAGG